CCGACCCCTATGGCGTGGCGCGGGCGCTCTGGCATCCCTCCTGGCATCCGCAACACGGGCGCGTCGCGCCCGGGGCTCGCCGACTGCCGCCGGCCCACTGGTGCAGAAGAGTCGGCCGAGACTCCACGGGGCGGGGGCGCTGCCCGCCCGCCAGGGCCTGCGGCGCCCAGCGACGCCAGCGACCGCAACCGGTCAGCACCTGGGAGGGCAGACGCAGACGCCCCCAGAGAAACCGCCCAAACGCGTCTGGATCCCCCCCCCTCGCCGCGCCCAGCGACGAGGGGATCGACCACGCTGCGCCTGGACAGGATGACGACGCTGCCATGTCCAGTCCGTGATGAGGGGGCCAGCATGGGCGACGGACGACGCCGTCGTTTCTCTCCCTCCATCAGGCCCCGCGCCCCACGGCCAGCCGACGCGCTTTTAGTGCCCGGGCCCCGCGCGCCGGCGCACGCTGGCCGGCGAAAACGGCGAGAAAGTTCCCAGCCCAACCCCCCGAGGGGCTCGATGGGAGGACCAGTCGATAAAGTCCAGGCGGGACCGCGCCTGCGCGCCTGGATCGGGGCACAGTGGCTCGCCACCTGGGACGGGTGGGAGTGCGCTCGCAAGGCTCGGATTACCCGTGGCGGCCGCCCCCTGGGCAGCTCGGACAGCGCTGGCGCGTCCAGATTTGGCGATGCGAGGCCAGGGAACGCCGATATCGGAAGGTGCACGTGAAAGCGCCGCCCAGGTCGCAACGACTTGATGGGCAGCGTGCTACCAGGCTCCCGCGTGGTCGAAATGGATCGGACCGAGGACGGTACTGGCGGCTATTGCTGGAGTTCCTGGGCCAAAATTAATCACTGGCGCAATAATGCTGACTGGGGGGCCCGCGGGCATGGGGGCGACTGCGCGTGCCAGAGCAGATGCTGGAACAACCCATGCGACAGCTTGTGTAAGGTGCCACGACGCGAGATTCGGCGAAGCCCGCAGTGGAATGAGAGTACCGCGACGAGACCTGGCCAGAGACCATCAACCGCCTCAATGGCACCTGCGGGGCGCTCTTCGTAGATGGATGGAACAGGGCGCGCGACCACAGTGACGGTAAGGGATGGGGCAAGGACCAAAGCAACCCTGGAGGCTTCGACGAATTCTGCCGAGAGTTCCTTGACACCCTGGCCGCCTCCCACTATGACATAAGGGCCTTCTGTCGGCGCCACCGCCTAGATGCTGACTGGGGCGATGTATGGTGGCAACAGCAGGACCGACAAGCGCAGGCAACCGGCGGGAAAGGCCAATGAGGCAAGCGTGCCAGCGGCGCCTCGTGGCCTGCTGGAGACCAGTCCCGCATGCGAGGCATGTGGCCTCCGGGCGCCAGAATTGGTCAACGAACCTAGCTCGTGTTCAGTGCACTCCGGGCCCTGGGAGAAACTGGCTGTGACGATGATATCCGTGACGCTGGCTCGGGCCTTCCACCCCAGGAAGTGCCTCGCCCCCTTTCCATCCTGTGCGTGTACCGAGTGCAACCTCCCGGGCGCGCCATCCAACCCAGGTGGTGCGCCCTCCTTTCTCTCCTCCTTCTGGGAGCGCCATCCACCCCGAGTGGTGCGCCTCTCCTCCCACCAGGGCGCTTACCTCCCCCGGCACCGCCCTCTGGTGCAGGCACCGGTCAAGCGCTTGTCACTGAATACCTGGAGTAACCAGGCGCGGCCGCCGCTTCCCTGGGCTGCTGTGCCTGCCGACGGCTGAAAGTGTCCTGGATGTGGCGTTTGCGCCACCCGCGCGGGCCTCCCGGCTCTGGCTCTCGTCAGCCACGCTCCTGGGCTATCCGGCCTGTGGTGCGTGCCGGGGGGCGCCCCTCTGACAGCCCCCCCTGGCGCGCAGGCGCATCTCCGCCGGCAGCCTCCGGGCAGGGTGCCGCCCGAGCCTCCTGCCGTGCCTTTGGCTTGCGCTCATCCCCCTCTGCTGCGCCGCTGCCCTTGCAGTGGCGCGCCTTCGCCCCGCCGATCCTGGGGCGGGGTGCCCCCCGCCCTCGGCTGTGATGCGCGCGCCAACTGGGTGCGGGCTCCGCCGCCCCCCCTCTCCCTGCGCCGCTGCCGCCTGGCCCGCGCGGCGCTCATGGCCGCGCCAGCCCGCCACTCGACCAGCATCGCGCTGGACTGCGTCCTCCTGTCGTGGACCTGCGCGTCCTTTTCCGGAACTGGTGCATCCTGCACTTCGCGGCCTCGGCTTCAACCCCTGGGTATGGCCGTGATGCCACCCCGCGCCCACTGCCAGGGTGATGGAGCTCTGGCTGGCCGCCCCAACCGCTCCAGGGCGATGCGCGCCTCGCCCTGTGAGTGCCCTCGCCGCCCGCCCGTGCCCTTCCCCCCTCTTGCTGTCGGACAATCAGCGCCTGCCGTCTCCCGGCTCGCTCGAGCGCGCGTGCGGACTACTTCCGCCGCGATGAGACGTAAATGATAATTGTTTCCCCCCACGTGTTACCAGGAGGATTTCCACGACGACTGGGGGAATACATAGTCCGATAGCTTGGCCGAACTCTGGCCACAACGTTCGGCCGGGTGTGCGTTCCCGAAGGGCATGAGGGGCGGCGATTCCCCGTAGAAGTCCTCGACTCGCCGCCCCCTGTGTGAGGCAGGACATCTTGTAGACGCGATGCATGGATTTATTTTGCCGGTTTCTGGTTGGTGACCGCCGCTGTCCATGCGTAGCATACTCGCATGGATCCTCGTATGAATTCTGGCATGGATTCCGACCGGACTCCGCATGGATTTGCCCCTCTTCCCAGCGCCCAGATTCCATGTGATTTTACATTGCGTTGCAGAAGGAAAAATCCACACAGTATCCACACAGGAATACATTCCAATGTTTGTTGTTTTGTTCTATTGCTCGCGCCGCAGAATCCATGCGCAAATCCACGCCCCGGATGTAAACATCCATACAGGATCCACTCAGAATCCATACTGCAGAATGCCCTGCCTGACCTGTGGCTTGCCACAGGGGTGTTCGGCGTGCGGTGCTTGAAGGTCCCCAGGGGCCGCCGGCCCAACTCGCGGGCCACCAAGAAAGATGCAGAAAGAAAAGAATAACCGGAAACTCGCATCCGCGATGACCCGTGAATTTCCAGGTCGTCGGATTTCCCGCTCCAGACAGCCCTGAGAAGGCCTCCAGCACAGCCAAGATGGTCTCCAAGAAGGCTCGGATGGCCCCCAGAGAGCCCAAGACGGCCCCACGATGTCTCCAATATGGGCCGAGATTCATCCAAGATGGGTCAAGATGGCCTTAAGATCGTCTAAGACGGCCCGAGAGGACCTCCAGGAAGGCCTGCAGAGGTCGAAATTATGTACTTTCCTTCGGTTGTTGTATGGATGTGTTGTTTGCTTGTCTGCCCCAGACGGCCTTTGAGGCCACCAAGATGGCCCCAGGAGCGCCCAGGAGGCCTCAGAGATGGCCCCCTGACGGTCCAAGAGGCCCTCAAAGATGGCCCCAAGAGGGTCTCAAGAAGGCCCAGGAGACCTCCAAAACGCCCAAGATGGTCTCCAAGACGGCCCTGAAGCGCCCCAAGAGCCAAGTCGGCCCAGGCAGGACCCCAAGACGGCTTCCGACGGCCGCAGACAGGCCAGGAACGCCCTGGGACGGCCAGAACACTTCCCCAACAGCCTCCGAAGGCCCCCCAGCGGCCGAAGGACGCCCCCAAGAAGCCTCCCTCAGGCCACGAGACAGCTCTCAAGAGGCCCAAGGAGGCCCCCGAGAGACCTCCCAAGAGGCCCTCCTTCGCCTCCTTCGCCCGCGGGGAGGGGGAGGCTGCACCGTCGCTCAACGTAACGATGTGCTGCTTACTGGATGTCGCAGGGCGGCCCTTTCCCAAGTCCGTGCTTCGGCGCGGATCGCCCTCGTGCCTTGTCGTCGTCGACATCGTCGTCACTGTCGTGGTGCGCGTTGCTCATCTGGGAACTTTGCTTCCTTTGTGGAATGAAAACCCTCAGGTGCGTGCGTGCGTGCGTGTGTGTGTGTGTGTGTCCAAATGCGGGTGGGCGCGCATAAGGACTTTGCCAATAGAACCTTCGGTGAAGCTCCCCCTAAAGCCACAGAACGTGTAAGAGTTCTGCCGAAATGAGCGCGAGTAGGCACGTCAACTTTGCCATTGGGGGCTTCGGTAAAGTCTCCTGTGAGGCCACCAAGCAAGTGAGGAGTGGAGCTCCCTATGGGGCTCCGACGCGTGCGAGGGGTGTGCCGACATTTGCATGGGCACGCATGCGGACTTTCCTGTTGTGGCCTTCGGTGGAGCTTTCAATCGGGCCTCTTGGGCGTGGGTACGCGTGCGGACTTTGCCACTGCAGCCTTCAGTGGAGCTCCTCCTAGGCCACGGGACGTCAGTGCTGTGTGGAAGGCAAGGAGGGGAGGAGGAAAGACATGGAAGGAGGAGACGCATGGCGCTGCTGACTCAAAACCCGCGACCAGCACCACAGGATGATGAGGAAAAGTCTCAAGTTGGCGGTGGGGGTCCTCTGGAGGCCCCGTGGGGCTTGGGGCCATCATAGAAGATCCGTGGGCACTCGGGCCGTCTCAAGAGTTCTGGGGGCCGCCTCGGGAAGCTCCACAAAGCTCCACGAAGGCTGGGGAAGAGAGGGGGAGGCTCAAAAGGAGCCCTCATGGGGCAGGTGGGCTTCATTCAGGCTGGTGAGGCTTATTTAGCAGTGTTTGAGGAAGTTGGTTAGTCAACGTATCGCATGGCCCCTTGGGCGCTCTGCTGGGTTATCTGGGGCCGGCCTAGGGTGTCCAACGGGCCTCTAATGATTGTGACCATTTGGGCTGACCGAGGCCTCCACGGGCGCTCTATCTCGGACCCCTCGTGCGCTTCATCCAGCCTGGACAGGCCTGTTGAGCAATGCCGGAGCATGTTAACTGTCCAAAGCCTTGCACGGCCATTTGGACGCTTTCCCGGGTTCTCTTGGGCTGCCTTGGGGTGTCCAGGGGGCCTCTTGCAGTTCTGACTACCTGGGCTGACCGGGCACTGGGTCCTCGTTCTCGCAGGCATCGTCCAGCCTGGTGAGGCCTCTGGAACGATACCAGCAGCAGGGCCTTGCAGGGCCCGGGGCGGCCTCCTGGGTCCTCGCGGGCTGTCTTGGGCTGTCCGACGGGCCTCCAGCCGCGCCACGACCCCGCATGGGCCAGGCCGAGAGAGCCTGCGACCGCTCGCCGTTGTGCGAGGACGGAAAAAGGGAACTCCCAGTGCCCGGAGGCGGGCACGAGTGCATGCGGGGAAGGCGCCCGGCGGCGGAGTCACAAAAACCGGCTGCCTGCGGCGGATGCCGCAGCCCACCCCCTCTCCCAATCTCGGGGTGGCAGCTCATGGGCGCCTCCCCATACCATCTTGTTGGCCAAGGGCAGCCGACGCGAATCTACGCAAATCGACGGCGATCGACACTACATCGACGCTAATCGACGCTAGCTGACCCGATTCGACGCCGAATCGGCGCCACCTCCTTGATTACCTACCAGACTCTGTTCGACGCTAATCGAACCTAAAGTCGAAACTAAGACGGTACACCAGGCTCCCATGATCTGCTACCGAACCGATCCCCTCCCTCGCGGGCAGACCTGTAGATTCGCGCGTCGCGGTCGAACCCCACCCTTGATCATCGCGTCGCGGTCAGACTTGCCAAGCGTGCCCTCGCGGTCAGACATAAGTTCGGGCGTCGCGGTCGGACCCGACCCTAGATCAGCGCGTCGCGCTCGGACCCTGAGATCACTCGGCCTTGCCAAACGTGCTCACGCCCGCGTCGCTCTGCTGCTCCGCGGCTGGCATGAGCCCGCCAGCGCTCGTGTGCTTCTCCCTGCGCACGTCGCGGTTGAAGGTAAAACACATGACGAAGACGGTCAAGACGACAGAGCCTTCTGCGGCAACTCATGGGAACGTCCCATGCTATCCAGTTGGCTCGTTCGAATCGACGCGAGTCGACGCTTGATCAACGCTATTCCACGCCAATCGACGCTAAATCGGCGCAACTTCATCGATTACACGACGCTGATCGACGCTAGCACACTCGAAAGACGGAATTACGACCGTAGAGAAGGCTCCCATGACTTGCTACCGGAAGAGCCGAAAACGGGCAACAATATCATGCCTTCGCTCTTGTAGTCGCGATCCCGGCCAGCGTCCCGGCTGAGGTAGAAGTCGAAGTGTTTCAACGTCCCCTCCTGGAAGGAGTTCTTGTGGATTGCCCGTCCATTGATGGCCTGGAACGGCCTGTTGTTGCCTGGGTTGGGGTAGAATTCCTTGAATCCCAGCCACTGCTGGATGCTCATTGGTAGGGCGGTCTCGAAGACAAACCACTTCACAGACTCTGAGCAAGGAGGCGTTGTGAGGCTGCCGTCGTACCTGTAGAAATTCCCTTCCAAGACAGGCCCGAATACCTGCATAAGGTCGACAGGAGTGTGGATGGTCACGTGGCCTCCCTCGGCATCCAAATTGCTGCCTTCGTCGACCGTTGCGTTGCGGATGAAGATCTGCTTCAAGAAAGGGTTCTCCTCATTCAAGTCCTTATCAAAGAAGAAGGCAGTCACCAAAAGGTCGTTCTTGTCCAGGTTTCGCAAAGCGAGCTGTCTGAAGTGCACCACGTGGATCTCGCACGCGTACTGCTTTCCTCCGATCAGATGCTCAGCCGGCATGTGAACATGGAACTGAGCGACTTCGTAAAACTGCGGGAAACCATTGTCACCCATAAGCTTAACGTAGCCTAGTTTCTGGTCAGAAACCTGCAAATTGTGCCCCGTGTTCGCGACCCGCAGACCACTGACGGGATGATAGCTGACTCTGTTGAGGAACACATCCTTGTCCGCATGGTCGGTAACGTTGTCAATCGGGATGTTGATTGGAGACTGCCTTGTCCCCGCCTCGCAGATATCGAACGCCAACTTCCAGCAGCGAACGTTGCCGTACCCCCAAGGAGGTGCTTGGGTGTCAAACTGGTCCCCGTATTTCCACGAACCCATTTCAGTGTTCCGGCAATCTGTTTCGTCGGTCTCCACGGCGTAGGCAGGCAGATTCTGCCTCCACAGCTTGCCTTCGGGAATCGGCCGCACATCTTGGGAGGAGTCGATTCCCGACACCTCCGGCGCTTGGGTGATTTGATTCAGCTGCTCGATGTCCACTGGAAGTGGAGTTGTGAAGACCATCCAGCGCACAGGATACGTGTTCTTGGAATTGTGCTGCTCACACTCCGTCAAGTTGGGGTGCGTGGAGGCGCTGCTGTACCAGTACCAAGGGCCGTCGATGCTGGGTTTCAAATCGCGCGCAAGGTCTAGGGTCCTCTCCACGTAGTGCTGTTCCCCGTCGCTCAGGTCTGGGAGCGTACTGAGCGACAGGCTGTCGATGAAGGCGCTCTTCTGCCGTCCGAGCTGCAATGGTATGCTCACAGCCACCATGTGATAATTGTCGGTGAACCCAGGGAGGTTCACGCCGAAATCATCCCCGTACATGAGGTGTTGGATCGTTAGCTCACCGGCATACCGCTCTCCGTTGACTGTATGCTGAGAAACCGCCTTGACAGAAACCCTCTCTGCAAAATAGATGTGGCCGTTAAGGGATATGCTTCCGAAGTGCCCTGGGGTGCCAGCAGAGGTCAGAGGCATGTCGATGTCGAAAGAATACGTTGAACGCCGGACATTGACCCCGCTCGCGCTTTCCCAATGCAAGATGTCCGAAGTCTTGACCTGTGGGGAGTCTGCAGTGGGGCCCACCGCGAGATCCGTGTCGACGTCAACCGCCGACCAATACTTGCCCCAGCAGGGGTCCACGAAGTCCCAGCACCGCGCGCTCCTTTGCCAGGTACCGTCGTTCTTCAACTGCTCGCACGTGGGCAGCTCGTGGCCCACGGCAAGCGGCTCGATACTGTTGACCCAGATCTCCCGGCACTCCTGGCCGCCGCCTGCTGCCTCCTGCTCACGTTCGAAGGGCGTCTCGGCGCGCAGGCCGACGCCGCCGAGCGGCGAGTTGGGTTGCCGCGTGTGACGCTGCAGCACGACATGCAAATTGCTGAGCTGCTTGCTCGTGGCCTTCATCGGGGTAGCCATCACGATCCACGTGACAGTCTCCCAGCAGGGCGGGACAGGCATGCTGCCTTGGTAGAGGTACGAACGTCCCGTCGAGAGAGAAGCCGAGATGTCGCCTTCAAGGTCGATCGTCTGCGCATCTCTTGTCCAAGAGGACACGGCATCGATGCCAAGAGGAAGCTCCTCGTTGGTGAAACCCATGCCCGCAAGCACCTGACCGAGCCTCGAAAACCGTGGGCACGCTGTTGCTGCCACGTCCTAGACCACCTAGCTTCGAGCATCGCGCCCAGCGATGCGCGATTATCTTCGCGCCCTGTCGCCCTCGCGCCGCCCCTTTGGAGGGAGGCAGAAGCTGTGACCACGACCGCGACGCGCGAAGAACTGTTATCTTCGTGCCTCAGAGGGGGGACCGAGCAACGCTTGGAGGGTCCGCTTCTACCTCCGCCAGCTTCCGTCGAGTTTCCGCAGGCGCAGCCGCCCGCACTTGGCGTCCTCCGGCCTCTACGGAGCTCCCGACGGCTTGCGCCGAGGCCTACAGATCCAGCCCCTCGACTCGCCGACGGCTTCTTTTAGGATGCCACGCCTGGCTCTCGACCGAATCGCTGACCGTGATCGGGATAGCGACGACCACGGTGTCCTCCGTGGGCGAGCCGGCTTTGCGGTGGCGAATCCACAGCTCCCCAGCGTAGTCCGCGCCGTCGATCCTGTGCTGCAGCTGCTTGACTGCCCCGGCGGTTCTCCGAACCCTCCCGCACTGCGCCCTCGTTCTGTGCACTTCAGGCACGCGTTGCTTCTTCTCTCGCGCCGCCTCCATCCTCCATCCTCTCGGCTCCCTCTTCGCGGCCCCTGTTCCTCGAATCGCTTCCCCCTGTACCGCACCCCCTTCTGCTTGGCCATCCTGTCGCCGCGTTCTTGCGCCGCTGGGGGTCCAGCGGGATACCCCCAGACGCCTCGTTGTGTGACAGTTCTGGTCATGTCGACCGAGTTTGGCAATCAATATCTGCCTGGGGTCATACCTTGCTCTGTGCATGAGGGCGGTTGTCATTACCTGGTCTGCGACGCCAGCTGCTTACCACTCGCCCCCCCGCTCCTCGCCGAATGCAGTTCGCGTTAACACCAACTGGGGCATGCCACGGCCTAGATGTTATGGCATAGCATTCCACAGCACGGCGCAACATGTAACGCTACATAATATAGAACATCTCGTATTCAATAACCGCACAACATAACGTGAGCATAGCACCGTGTCTCAGGACAAGCAGCTGCGCATCCCAATGGCAATTGCATCGCATGGCGTAGCGCAACAATACACCATCCCACAATGGCGCGATCGCCTGTAACGTCCATGCGCTGCCAAATCTGCCATGCAACTGTTTAAGTGACTCCCACAGGTCGCACGGGGGGAAAAACATAACTGATCCAACACAAGGTTGCACAAGCTGTACCAAACTGCATCTTCGCATACGATGGGGCAGCACACCCGTGGCGGTGCAAAATTATTCCTCACGTCCAAGGGCGATGGCGCTTGAGCAGTTAATGAAAGAGCGACGCGCGCGGGTGAACAGACAGCATTTCCATCGACAATGTCGTTGAATAGCGCGCACGTGCAAGCCATACAACAAAGTGTATGGCTTGACCGTCGCTCCATGACAATATTGCGCTTGGTGGCGCTGAGCTATGTGTTGTGTATGTCACAACCTTCTTACGACATGCCCCCGTTCTGGGTAGAACCGTGCTGGTCCTTCCTCCTCCCCCTCCGCCCTCCCTCCCCTTCTTTCCCATGTCCGCAGATCCTGCGTCTCTCATCGCTCCCCCTCTCTCTCTCTCCCTCTCTCTCTCTCTCCTCGTGCTCCCCCGGGGGGCCACCAGGCGCACGACTGTCGCCGCGCTCCTCCGCCCCTGGGGAGGTCCACCGGAACAGTGGCACACAGGGGCGCAGTTGACACGTCGCCTTCCCTGGGTTCTTCAGGGCGCGCACCTGTTGTCAGTGCCCTGCGCCCCTGGCCGGGGGGGGGCAGCGGAGTGGTGACACGAACGGGCCGAAGAGATATCGCCTTCCCCGGGCGGGCCCAGACCTGCATCTAGTGTCATTTCCCTGCGTGTCCGAGGGTGCGCCGTATGGGGACCGAAATGAGTAGGGCATACGGGATACGGCATACGGGACACGGCACACGGGGGGCAGGAGGAGGAGAGGGATGAGGAGGAGGAGGATCAGATAAGACGGGCCGCGAGACGCGGGTCTGCCCCAGGGGCCGAACGCGGGCGGCCTGGCCGCTCCGCGCTCCGTCGCGGCCGCCAACGACAGCAGCCGCGCCCCTTCTCAGAGGAAGAGGGAGACGAGGTCGCTGAAATTCAACACGATGCCGAACTCGGGGACCACCAGGTCGGAGTCCGCGCACTTCTGCAGCTCTTGGGAGTTCTCGAACTCAAAGCTGCACCTCTGACGCACCATTAGTAGTGCACCATCTCGCCGTCAAGGACGACGTCGTCGAGCTGGTCGAACGGGTCCTCCTCATCGTCCAAGTTGGTGCGCACGACACGCCTAAACCCTCGCCTGGCTGGGGAACCCATGCGTTGCAAAGCCGCCGATACTCTGTCACTGGTGAGGCCCCCCGGGGATACCACTCGCTGTGTTTCATGCCCTCTGGGCCCCTCAGGAGCCTCCACCATGTGCCCATTGTCAGCAGCTTCAGGCCTAACCCCTCGCCTGGCCGGGGGGTAATACTGCATCATCCACTACACTCTCAGGCCTAACCCCTCGCCTGGCAGGGGTGTAGTTCCCCGTAGTCTTGCCAACAATCCTGCGTTTCGCCCTCGGAGTCGCCGTCGAACTCGCTGCTGACAAAGTCGAAGAACTGCTAGCCACCATCTTTTCATTGGCGTGAGACCTCATCCTTTGCTCTTGCCCTGGCAACAAGTTAGGGTGAGCCACGTCCTGCCATGGCCGCCTCATCCGAACTGGGGTCGGCGAGGGAGTTTCGCCAAGCGGCAAGGCCGCCTCAGCAGCCACCTCGGACTTCTCGCTCGGGGGGCACGACGGGGGATTAGGCCTGCATCCGATATTAGACTGGCCGGCTTCCAAGACAGAGCTTGGCATAGCACCGTTCACTGCCACTGCATAGATCCATCCAATACGACGATGCAGCTGCAAAGCACGAGCCACTGCCTGATTGTCGTCAGGAGACGGCCTCCTTGGTGGCGGCGGACGGAGACGGTCTGGAGCTCGATCTTGAAGTAGCCTGCGAAACATCTGCCTGACCTCCGCCAGGGCGCGCCAGTGACGATGTTCTTGCCGTGCACGTTCCTCATGGGACGCACCTTGCAGGCGATGTATGAATGCGCCCTGTCTGGCAGTAGTTTGCCTCCAAGCACTTGCACACAACTCATCGATACCTTCCTGCAACGTTCTTCCAGGGAGCAATCTGAATGGCAACTGCCGCAGCTGGTTGTTGCCGCCCTGGTTGAACATCTCGATGACGAAGGCGACGCGCCACTCCTGCAACGGCGCGCTGTTTCTTGCCAGACACGAGTGATCGTCGAACCACATCGACGCCCAGTCTCGTAGGTCCGCTCGCATGTCCGCGTAGGCCTGCACGGCATGGTCTGCATGGTCACCGCCAACAAGACTTGGTGGCGGAAGGCCCATGGCAGCAAGCGCCTCCCGGCTGGGCGCCGTCTTCTTCACCTTCCTGTATCCAGCAGTGGCGACGACTGAGCCTGGCGTAGGCTGCGCTGCAGCAGCCAGGACTTGCGCTCGAACGCCTGACTGTGGCGACTGAGCCTGGTGATGCTGAACGGCAGCTTCCAGGACTTGCGCTCTGACACCAGGGGTTGGCGAAGACTGAGCATGGGCATGCTGCTGATCAGCGTCCAGGACTTGCGTTCTAACGCCCTGGGTGTCGTCCATGATGTCACTGTTCCCGGACATGGTGTTGGCATCGTCTGCCTTCTGCTTGCTGACTAGCTCCTTGGCACGAATGCGTTCATGTAGCATTGCCATGCGCTGCTCGAAGTCATAACGTCCATCAGGAACTGGCCGAGCAACACGAGTGACAACTTTCTCTGCTTTTTGAAAACGCCGAGCATCATGTCGAAGAGGCAAGGTTGCATCAATATGTATTGCGCGCTTTTTATGGGGCCCGATGCCTTTTCGAAGGTCGGACAGCACTTCCAACCCTTTCGTTGTCGGCCAGGTGCATTCTTCACGTAATTTGAGTTTGCGCCTTGGCTGCGCCCAAGCTCCGCATTGAATGCACACAAATACCGTCGCTTTGCAGGTCATGTCGCTGAGGTCGCCCTTCTGGCTGACTGCCGCAATCCGGTGTCCCAAAGGGTTGGCGATGTAGTCATTGAGAAAGGTAGGCGTCCCTGCACAACCGCGAAGCTGATCATATCCAGGCTGACGAAGGCGTAGGCATCTAGTGCACTGTTGTCCGAGGTCGGAGTCCTGCCAGTCATGCCAATTATCCGTCCTGGTGCTCTTGGCGCGCTTGAAACCAGAACTGTTCCTTTGAAAGCGCTCCCCCTCCTGGTCATACAACGGCAAGACGTTCGCAATCAGCTTGGTGATGTCTTGGCACAACTTCTGATACTGCTCTATCTCGTTTTTTTTTTTTTTTTTTTTTTTTTTTTTTTTTGAAATCTGAGGATATGGCCGCGTGTCTCTTCGCACCTTCAGACGCGCAGTGATCTGCCACCACATTGCCGTCAGTGATGCGCTTGGTGTCCGCGTCCAGGCTGGCATATTCGTCACCCGACCTGCGCGCTTTGACGTGACGGACATCCTTGATGCGCTGAAGGCCAGGAAGACTCTGCGCAAATCCAAAGACGCCTGCATACCTCTGCGTGACCATCACCTGCTCCTGAGCCGACTTGTTGAACTGTTTGATCGTTCCTTTGAAGTCCGCGTGCAGAGTTGTTGGCCTACCCGCTGCCTGACACGAAAAAGCGAAAGCGAGGTATTCTGCCATTGCCGAGGTTTGCGGCAAACTGGCAGGGACCGCTGCATACATGACACGCAGAGGCTCAGCGCTGAGGGGATCCATCAAGACCGTCGCCCATCCAGCCCTTTGAAGCTCGAGCAGCACCGGTTTGGAACAATATCCATCGATGGCAAACTCGATCTCCGACGCGCCTGGCTGAAACGCATGCCCCACCATTTCCTCGGGCACCTGCTGCGCATCATTACCCGCACCATCGACTACGCATGCTTGTATGCCAAGGTCCATGCGCAGGAGGAGGAGGAGGAGGTGGAAGAGGAGGAGGAGGAGGAGGAGGGAGTGAGAGGAGGGACGGAGAGGGAGGAGGAGGAGGAGGAGGAGGAGGAGGAGGAGCGAACGACGCGCTGAGGGGGGCGCGTGTCCGCGGGTTAGAGGCGCAGCGGGCCCGCGCCGCCCACGAGGCACCGCGGCAACCTCAGGACGCGTCGGACGGCTGCGACCACCTCCGTGTGGATCTTGAGGTCGTCGTGGATGGCGGGCGTGCCCATCTCGGTGCGAAACCGCATGATGTTGCACGTGCGGAAGGCCACGGCCATGCGTGTGATGGTGTGCCTCGGGTGGTCGTCGATGTTGTTGCTCTCGTGGAGTCCGAGCCGTGTGAGGACATCACCAGCAGGTTGTTGCCGGGGCTGAGCCAGTAGCGCCCACATTCGCGGGCATGTAAAGTAGTGGCTGATGTCGTCCGTGTTCTTGATCTGCGAGTC